TTTGAATATTTATATGTATTGCTTGTCTTAATTTTTAATTTGGAATTTCTTTTTTGATTAACTGTCATAGAGCATACCCTCATTGAAGTAATAAATTATTAATTATTATTATTATTAATTATTATTATTATTATTAAAATATTTTTACGAACAAAACACCGTCGGAAAGTTTCAATGTATGAACAGGTTTTTCCAAATTTAGGAAACGATGTGATATTTTTCAATTTGTTTTCTAAAGAGGAACATAATCATCTGTACTTATGATATATCATTTCAATTGTAAACTCATTGTAAAATCTATTTCCCTTCAAGAGTTTCCACATAATTTAACCATTGTTTTACAAGGCCCTGCATTAAGATGCGTGGTTTATTTTTCCATTTATCTACTCAACAACATATAGTTAAGGTTATTACTATTACTCACGCAATAAAGTTCCTACAAGGTTAGACGAACTTATTACGCAGTATTTTATTGAGTAGGTCAGAACAAATGAGTACTATAAGCCAAACCTTTTGTTTTGGTACTACTATAAGAAAAAACTAAAAGCAATTTTTTCTTTAACTTCCATCAGGACCAATAAATGTTTATCATGTGTAATTACAACGTCATTTCCTTTTCAGAATACGATGAAACAGCGATAATCACTTCAGACCTATATTTTATCTTCGACACATCAGACATCTAATGACTGCTGATACAAGGAGAAAATGTGTTCTCTTAAAAAAGGGAAGAACAGATGCCAGAGACATTTTACCATTGTTCTCCTAATGTTATTCGATTTTTATTTTTTTTGTTTCGAGAATACGTAATATTTGGAAAATCTTTATGTCATATTACCTACTTTACGAGTAAACCGTTTTAAAAATAGTTTCATGTGTTAAAAATTGCTTTCATATTTTATTTCTTTCTTTCCTAGCTTTGTTCAAATATGTTCTTTCACTATCTGGCATTGGACGTACCATTGAATTATAGTAGCTGATATTATTACACTCACATTCAAAAGCTTCCAACATCATGACCTTATATCTTACCTTACCTTATCAGGTGCATGTTATTTTATTGTGATGTAAGCTGAATTATTTGTAAGTGTGATTAAAGTTCTATAAGATGTTAACTAATATAATTTAAATGGTAAGTACTATCAGTGTTTGATTTATAGAATTTTAGGTCCCAAAAAGTACCTCAAAAATAATTATTAATTTAATGTAAATATTTACAATACTTAAAACATTACTTAATAATCATCATACTTATTAACAGTTAGTAATAGTGGTAGAACTGGCTCCATGTGAATGAAATCATTATAAAAGGAAATAAAAAATAAGTGTGTATAATGATATTTTATAGTTTTTTAATTATAATTTTACTACTTTCGTAAAATTGAGACAGTTAAGTGAAAAGTTAAATAATTTTGATTGTAGAAACTAAACTAAAAACTGTGGTCAAACTAAAAATTGATTAAAAATCGATGTTGTCAAGCGTTTGCCTTCCGATTTTTCGTTGTTTATTCATTTTTATATCATTTAATGATTGTCAGTATTACGTTTCTTGATAAAAGATTTGAAATATAATTTTGACAGTTTTCTATTTTCGTTTTATTTCACTCTCACTTCATTTTGGAAATCAATGGGACTTCATTGTCAGGTACAGTTAAAAAATTGGTAAGTACAATTGTCAGCTTTTATAATTATTTTAAAATATTATAAATTTCTCTGATATATGAATGTGTAAATGTGATTAATATTTAAATAGTATTAGAATTTTCAGGTTGCGTAGGCTTCCGCGGCCGGAGTTTGTGTTGTCTAGGCTATCCGGGACGAGCCGCGTCACTGACATTGTAACGTTTCGGCCAGCGTATTGTGGCCTTCTTCAGAGCGTACTGCAATATTGCTTCAAAGCAGTACGCTCTGAAGAAGGCCACAATACGTTGACCGAAACGTTAGTCACCATGTCAGGGTTTCGGCTCGTTCCGGATAGCGTAGACAACACATTCGAATTTTAATTTTAATTGATACAAGAAATGTTATTCATTTTTACTATTTTGTTTCCGAGATACCGGAACAGTGATGCCAGAAGTACCGCATTTTCTACATTCAATTCGTAATTCGCATTGAGCCGTGCGGACAACTAAAAATTCGCATTTTTAAAAGCGAGACAGTCTAGACCGTCATCTATATAAAAATATCATTTGAAAAAACATTAGTTGATTCTAATTTTCTCCATGAAATAAGTATATCATGTATATTCAAATTTCAACTAACTAATAAAAATGTAAAACATTATGGCAAACCTCTCACACTGAAATTTTCTCCGCATATTTTGCATCTCGCTTTAGATTCATTTTCTGGAAATCTTACTATCCAATTATAAATGGATTTTTGTTGAATTTGATATATGTGTGTTTTTTCTAGCTTTTTGCTTTCGGAGTTTTGGATTTTTTCCTGGGAGGAGTCTGACTTTAACCCTCTCGCTTGTTCATCGCATGATGAAGCCATTTCTCAATTTCAGTACGTAATGAGAAAGTAGAAGACAGTTATGAGTATATTTGTTTAGTATAAGCCACATTCGATTGGCAGGTAAGATTTATTTGTGGAGATGTTGACTAAGGTTACTGAAATGTAAAGTAATATTAAGTGCAGACGGTTATGTAATAGGTCGATGTATTTTGCTCTGTAATTATTATACACAGTGCATTTCCATGTACATTCTAAATAATTATTTAAAATATTCACAGGGAGGGCGTTCAAATTGCTGAACTGCACTCATCGCTTGTGCAGTATCTGCATCTGTATATTTGTTTAGTATTAGCCACATTCCATTGGTAGGTACGACTCGTTCTCTTTACATTTGCAGACGGAGCGCTGCTACCTGTTTACATGTGGTCACCGCCGACTGAATGAGAATTACACATCTACACTAGATACTGATCGATTAGATAAGATGTAGAGGGCGGTGAACGGGATACATGCTCACACATTGTAGGGTAGGCAGAGAAGACGCGGGCCAGAACACAACCATTGGGTAATAGATATGTGCAAAGGAGAAATGAAAATAGTTTTCATGCCTTTTATGAATAGCATGTATTGTGGTTGACAAAGTGTGTTGTACTAGTGTAGTGTACAAGCGCAAGTTTCCTTGATACACGAGCTACCTAGTCCTCACCCAGCGCTGCACGTTGAGATACTTAGGTTCAACTCTGAACTGCACGTACCAGTTTACAGTTCTGGCAACAACCACCTCGAACTTGCAAAACAATCTTAGCATTTCTCGTGGCACACTTTGCTGAGTTAGTTCATGCTTACAGTTGGTACGACCTTTTAAGCTGTGACGTAGCCAGAGTCCTCCTCTCCCCGGACCCCCCGCTGTGGAATATCAAGAAAACTTGCGCGTATAGTACTTCAACGCTGTCCATAGGTCTTTTTAATGGTATTAATAACCGCTTTTTCTTTTCCTTACGACAATAGTTCACTATCTTAATTATAATTAATTTACTGTCAGAACGCACTCTCGAATACCGAAGTGAATTTAATTTTTTCGCATAATTCATAGAAACTACAAAAAATCAAACTAAAAAAGCTCTTTTTCCCGGACCGTCATATTTGGTCAAATTCTGTTAAGACATCGACGGGCTCTCACTTAAAACAACAGAAGTTTGTAATTCTGCCGTCTGCAATCGTATAATAAATGAGTAATAATATCTATTGGTGTACATGTTGGCTCTCCAACTACTATATACTCTCTGTGTTGGCTAATGGTACTGATTTGATAATAATATTGATGATTGATGTATGAAGTATATAATATTTTTCTTTGATATGCAGTGGATGTAATAGAATCCCGAGAAAAAACACCATGACAATTAGATGGGATCCCAGACGCATCAAAGCATCGAGAATAGTAACGCTTAATTTTTCACTTAACTCTCTCAATTTTACCAAAGCAATAAAATTGTAATTAAAAACGATAAATATCATTATAAAATAGTTGTATATTCATGGAAATGCAACATTTCTGTGGTGAACGTGTCTATCTACAGCCCTCCTGTGTGACGTAATCGCAAGGACTCCGCTAGTTTGTTTGAAAATCGGTATTTGCACACTTAGGTAAGAACGTGAAAGTGCAAGTTGGAACGCAAGAACGTTTATGCGCTCTTAGGCTTCCGCGGCTGAAGTCAATATATTCTTGGCTATCCGGGATGAGCCGCGTCTCGGTCAATTGGGCTGACGTTTCGGCCATCTTGCTGTGGCCTTCAGTATAGCTCTGAAGAAGGCCACAGCAAGGTGGCCGAAACGTCAGCTCTATTGACCGAGACGCGGCTCATTCCGGATAGCCAAGAATGTATAAGAACGTTTGTTCATTCTCTAGCATTACCCACAGTTTTGTTTTCTTCATATTCACTTTAAATTCTTCAAGTTTAATAAGTTCCGAGGCAATACTGTTCGTCGGTTTTCGCAACTTTAGTTTTAAAAATACGATAATTCGAATCTAAACTGAAATCAGACAGCAGCGCAATTTGCTTGGTAATTCAATTGTTCACTTAAAGATGTCAACATTGGTGTTGCCAACATTGTGAAAGAAAATTATGGCGTATTACTTTAAAAATGTCTATGTACTGGTGTTTAATCAACGCCAGCTGCATAAATAGATTTGGGAGAAGTTGGTTTAATTCCCAGGATTATCACTAAGACTGCGGTGCCAAAACACGAAAAAACACGTTTTTGGAAATTTCACTGAATATTCTTGTCAGATCCAAAAACAAATTACCAGTTCCCTATCAGGAGACCGAGACGCGTCGAATGACATCTCATACGTCCTGATTGGTGGACGGGAAGTGGCCTAGCCTCGAACGGAATCGCACATACGTACACTCAAAGAGTTTTACTCGAATACTGTACAGGGATAAGACTATAGAAAAGAATTAACAAAATTCATCAATTAAAAAAAAACTTTTTCACATTTATTCATTTTTCATCATTTACACCTTGTAACTATTTGCCGAGGCTTTTAATATAGAAAATATTCCAGCTTACCTTTAGTTATAAACGTCCACGAGACTTCTTGTTGCTCAGAAGTTCAATTTCAACAAAAAATTTAGCAGTGAATTTGCATCTCTCTAATCCAACCAGTAATTCTGAAAAAAAGATCTGTTTTGAATTGTTATTTTTTGAATCCTATGGGATTTGATTTAAATATTCAATAAAATCCAAATAATATTTTGTAACTAGTTTTATACTTTCTTAACCTTTAAATAAAGTATATCAGTAAAAAAATTTCTCTGTCGAAAAATTCAATACGTGTACAAAACTTACATCTAGTATACTGATTTTATTGTAGTATTTAAGACGTTAGAACATATATTTTCTTTTACGAGTTTTATGTTTTATGTTCTGTGTGGTCTTCAATGTTTCAAAGTATAATTTAGTTTATCTATAGGAATTCTACAATCGAGTTAAAAGCATATTTATTGACAATTTTATGAATGGAATTATTAAACTTTATTTACAATTATTTACTTACACGTGAAGGTATATTATCCGGCGTCATCAGAAAAATGTCACCTCCGCAGCATTTTCTTCCCTGTGTTGGCATCTACGTCGACCGCCTGTCCGCGTTGGATCCGACGACTCCGGCAAGGATGCGAGGGGGGCAGCCTTGTGGCGAAGCAAGTGGTGCCAACGGGCTTCACTCGCTGCCCGACGTCATCTCTTTCCGAAAGGCAATCGGGGCACCTCGCCAACGCGTACGGTCTGTAATGACGCAGCTACAGATTTGGGTCTCGTGTTGCAAGGAACGTTAGAAATATTATTTTGACATGAAGTTTGAAAATCATTGTGTAGCACTGAATTGGAATAAATTTGATCGACAAAGTTAACGTTCTTATTTTTTATTTAATTTTATTTATGTAACGTGATAAACAATTAAAATTGTGACTGAAGCACTATTGTATTTTTTCAGAAAACTTAGTTGTTTTGAAATAAACAAGTATGATGAGATTGTCCTAGAATAATTGATGTGACTTGATACAACTATTTGATTTCATGAAATCAAATACGAAAAAATTAGCTTCCTCAAAATACTTTTCTTCCTCAAAGTCCAATCTCGCAATCACTAAATTAACTTCATCAATCTCAAACGTTTATTTAAATTATCTCTATTAATCACGACTTCCTTTTTTGTTGTTTTCAATATACGTTTGGGGGGGAAATCACTTGGTAAAATCCATTCCTGGTAAGATTCCAGGAAACCTTGTACTCTACATAAGGGGATCTGCCATCTCTGTAACCGATGACGGAATGACACAATGGGAACATTTCGATCTATATATTCTAATTTAAAAGCCATACCTCGAGAAAACAAATTCATATACTCCTACGTGACCAGTGGTATCTGTGAACTTAGAATCTTTTGTCTTACCACACGTACTCTTTTAGAAGTTGAAACTCAATTTCGTAGAGAATCAAGGACTCAGAAATTCTTTGACAGGTACGTTGTTCTTCCAAATAACATGAGTTTTTATGTGTTTACATTAAGTAAATTGTAGCTAGCCCTGCATGTTGAGATATATCAAATACTCTGAAAGGAAATTTGATACAAACTTTCTGAAATACGTAATAATATTTAAAATAAAACTGGCTAAGTTTCTTGATCGAAATCCGAAAAATCACACATTTCGCAAGACTAAAAAAATCCTTCTGTTTCACACTTTATATAGTTTCAATAAATATATTCCGAATGTTGGATAATGATCAATATCTGTGGTATAAAAATAATAAAAATATATTTTCAAACGATTTTATCATTGCAAATTTATTTAGGAGTTAAAAAATTATAACAAATTCTAAAAATTTTAAATAAGACTAATAAAATTAGTTTGGTTGTCTACTTAACTCAGAACCCGAGAGAGGGTGTTAATAATGTATACATATTATTGGAAATATAGATAAAACACAAAATGTAAAATCACGGGATTTCCTTCCCGACATTCGAAGACATGTTCTCTTTCTTTTTTCTTAAATATAACGTACGTATACACTCTTTTTCTATCTGAAAGATCTGGTAGCCAAACTTATAATTATGATAAAGTATGATATCTGAACCTATAATCATTAATGTATGAAAATATAATATTTTTTCGTTTATTTTGAAATTTCATGATTCTGTAAACGAGTTTTTCACACGTACTTCTTACATATTAGTGGAGTATAATAAAAAATAATTATTGTAGTAGTACTCCTCCATGCACCAGAGACAATGAATGACAAAATTATTAAGGGTGAAGTTACTAATAATTCTGGAAGAATGAGTGTCCAAACCCTTTTTGGAGTCGCAGCAAACCAGTTCTATTCACTGAGCCAGTGAGCTCACAAGATTTATCAATGAATTTTTACAAAAGAGCTGCTCTCGATACCATTGTATTACACATAGAGCCTGAAGTAACTGGGATTGGAATTTTGTAAATCTACATTTTGTAACTCTACATTCTGCGTAACTGTAAATCTACATTCAATAGGTAACTGAGCAAGCAATTCGAAACCTCGTTCCAGTTCCACTGGACTCCAGAACTCCAGTTCTCTGGGCGATAAATTCAGAGGGAATGTGTGATCATCAACGGGATGCATCGTTCCCGACCTACTGTAAATAATAATCATTGCATTATTCTTATACATATTTCATACATACAGTTCCACAGAAGAGTGAGATGTTTATATTATATTATAATAACTAGTTTAACTTTTTTTCTTCGCAGAAAGCGAATACATTGTATCATCACCCTCCCTGTGATTCAGTGGTGATCCCTATAGAGACGGGTTTGGCGAAGTATCTCACCTTTTCTCTGACATCGTTCGAGTACGGGGGAATTGAAACTACGTTTTATCTAGACGATTTTTAAGTTCAATTACGAGATCTATTTATGTCGAAGAAATAACCTTAAAACCAGAAAAAATATTACAAGGAGAAAGTAATATCTTATTCTATCCTTGGTTTATAAATCTCATTAGTTTATAAATCATTTTTCTTGGTTTATAAACCAGTGTGAAACATACGAATATTTGAAGAGATCTATTACATAGGTGCGATGTATTATCTTTTGAAAGATATTCTCTTCCTCGTTAAGTTAATTTTACGATAAGAGTTAGGTATTTCTTTTGTTAACTATAGTTTTTAGTCATTTCAATAAAGAATATTTTCATATGAGTTCAGTAAATGCTGATGAAAAGCGAAGTAAATATAAAAAATCAATCTTTCAAAATAATCTTTTTATAAATTAAAATGTTAGTATTGTGTTTCTTATTTATATTCTCATTTCAGAATTAATCATTTTGATATTAGGATTATCTTTTAATTAATTTTTAGTATTATTTTTACAATGATTACCTCATTTTAATTTTAAAAGAGAGTGATGGTGCTGCTTTGCTCTTATAACTTTTCATAACGTGGTGTTGGTTTGGTAATAAAGACTTTTTATGCTTTCTTGTCTCCGCAGCAACGTCTGGACTGCTTTGTGAATTTCTGCCATAATAATGTTGAATAATCTGTAACATCGTTGAATTATTTTGGTGTTATTTGTGAATTCCAGTAAAACTTTAAAAAATATCATGTATATTGACGAAAGGATAACAATTGCTGAAAAATAATTCTTTTAAATCATATTTATTGATTCACGTACAAACACCACTTTTTATACCAATTTTACTCAAACAATTGTGAATGTGAATTAAAAATCTGTTAAATTTTATTGAGAATTGAAATTACATTATTAATGTTCATACATTTTAAGGAGTTGAAAATTGAATTGAAAAAAATTGGTGTTTTTCAATATTCATTGTAGTATTTAGCAAGAGTAAACTCAAAACCATCACATTATCAAAGGCAAACATATTGGTAGTGCACAGGTATAAGTGAAAATAAAAATAGCAAGTTATTATTCTTATTTAAATTACGTACTTCGGAAGACTTTTAATAATTAGTTTAAAAAATAATATGTGGTATTATTATATAGTAATAGATTTATCGCTAAAGAAGTATTTATTATAGGGATATTGTCACCTTTACCTATCTGTGGTTGACACATACCAAGCTACATTCAAATCACGCAGTCATAACCCCTCTTGCAAACTCCTATGTGTGTGTGTGTGTGTTTATATAATTCTTACATAATTGAATTGTAGTGTCCTGCGTAGGGAGGAACGGAAGGAGAAGGCTTTGAGACGTGAGAGAGGAAGGTCAAAAAGTGTGCTACTGGGAAGTGGGGGTTAGCGTGGTGCCAGGAAGAAAAAGAGAAACGGACATTGAAGCTGCTGCGCCCAGGTTTACGGGCTTCCATTTCTTACACTATAATTGCCGTGTAAGAACCTAGATCTGTGTGGAGATGAATATTCGGCGTCAGCAGCCCACTGACCGTCGCAAGCTTCGCGCCGTTGGGTGGGGGAAAATCCCCGAGAAGAGGTCGGTAATAATCGTCTTTCCTATTTTTTCTCCTTTTCTTTCGCCACGAACTTGCCATGACTGCGAGATGCATCAAGTTCGCCCAGTTCGCTAAGTCGCAGGAGGATCTTGACAGTATTCTCATAGTGTCCCAAGCCACCCCTGTAACGAGTGTAGCGATCATTAGAGCCTGAATAACTAAAAGTAAATGCAGAGAGCAACATCACCCCATTTAAGTGAATGCTGTAATGAGTGCTCAGAAAGTGCGTGCGCGTGTGCAACGCGTGTGCGTGTGTGCACGCGATGTGCGCGTGTGCACGCGTGTGGGGATGCACGCTTGTGCACGCGTGTCCCCGCACGCGTGTGCACGCGGTGTGGCGCCCGTGTGCACGCGTGCGCGCGTGTGCACGCTCATCGGCGTAGCACGTTGCGCGGGCCGTCGGTGCACGCGTTGGCGCGCTGTGTGCACGCGTGGCGCGCGGGGCAACGCGTGCGCGCGTGCTGACGGCGTGCTGCCTCCTGTGCGCTGTGTTGCACGTGTGCGCGTCGTCAGTTAGCCGGTGTAGAAACGTGTGCGCGTGTGACACGTTGCGCGTGGTGCAGGTGTGCGCGTGTGCACGTGTGCACGCGTGTGCCGTGTGCACGTGGTCGCGCTGTCACGCGTGGCGCGTGTGCACGCGTGCGTTACACGCGTGCGCCGTGTGCACGGTGCGCCGTGTCGCATGCGGTGTGCGCGTGCGTGTGCACCGTGCGGTGCGCGCTGATGCACGACGAGCTGGTGTGCACGTGTGCGCGTGTGCACGTGTGGCGGTGCACGTGTGCGCGTGGTGCAGCGCTGTGCGCGTGTGCACGTGTGCGCGTGTGCACGTGTGCGCGTGCTGCCACGTGTGCGCGTGTAGCACGTGTGCGCGGTGCACGTTGTGCGCGTGTGCACGTTGTGCGCGTGTTCACGTGTGCGCGTGTGCACGGGTTTTTGCGCGGTTTTTGTTTTTGGGCCACCCGTTGTTTTTTTTTTGGGGCGGCCGGGTTTGCCCCCGGTGTTTTTGCGCGTGTTGCACGTGTGCGCGGTGCACGTGTGCGCGTTGCCATGATGTGCGCGGTGCATGTGTGCGCGTGTGCATGTGTGCGCGTGTGCATGTGTGCGCGTGTGCATGTGCGCGCGTGTGCATGTGCGCGCGTGTGCATGTGTGCGCGTGTGCATGTGTGCGCGTGTGCTTGTGTGCGTGCATGTGTGCGCGCGTGTGTGTGTGAGTGTGTGTGTGAGTGTGTGTGCGGGTGTGTGCGGGTGTGTGGAAGATCTTCCATTATTAATACTTATACCCGAGTAGTGAAATTTTCGAAATAATATAATTTTATTAGTGTAAAAGTGTCCAAACGAAAGTTCATGTTGCAAAGTGTTGCGAGTGCGATCATTGTATTTTCGAAACAATGTTATATTTTGCTTCCTATGAATGATATTATCAGCAACTGTCTCAATGCAGAACTAATACGAAAACTCTATTGCTCACTGGAATCAAAGCCAGAACCACGTGCGTGGGAGGTGAATATACCTGACACGGACACTGCGCATAAAATTGTGTAAGTAATGTTTCAATTCAGACTTTTTTAAAACTTTGTTTTAATTTTTACATGAACTGCTTAAGTTTTGTTATACATATATCTGATGTGAATTTGGAAATTGTATTCCCGTCTTTCGATGGAGCTGCAACTCCCAGTTTGTTGAGGCACCAGCATCCACAGAAATGCATTAATCAATTGAAGTAAATTATGCCACATTTCCTTCATTGTTCATTTCCTGATAATTTGTAAAGACGGTTTTCCATATCTGACAAGTAGTACCAATAATAATCCGTTCAGAGTTGGCAGGAGGAGTAACAGGAAAGCTAGAGACAGCGCAGCAAGGGCTTATCGGAGGCTACGGTCGGCTTAACATGATCGATGGAATGTCAAATGGTAACAGATGTCCGCTCAATTCACAGGACCTATGCCAACCACCGCAGAATTATTAGCAAATGCGTGCGTTGCTTCAGGGCCGAAGGAGAATGTTGTAACCAGTTCTAAGCAATTACCAATGTTGTTCTTATCAGTCTGGTTCTGAGACTTAGTTGTTTCTACCAGTATGATTCTGAAACTTGATTATTTTTACCAATATGACTTTGAGCCGAAGATGCTTTTATGAATATGGCATTGGACCTAAGTAGTTTTTACCAATATGGTTTTGAAGAACAAATTATTTTTCAAGACAAACTCTATTTTTTAAATATTATCTTCCAAGAGGGATTCCAAAGGACCATATTACAATCTTGTTGAAGCCATGAGGATACATCTTTATAAGATTTACTAGAACCGTGAACACTCAAAAAAAATTTTTTTCTGTGGTGTGAGATAAATCGATAGTAGTCTACCCCCTGCCATTGTCTTTGGATTGGAATGTTGTGTTACTTGCCTTAATGCTAATATTACTATAAATAAACAAATCATTTGCTGCCGAGCAAATATGGTTTGGAAATTTAACGAAGAATATTTTTAATAAACACGCTGTGAAATGTTACATGCAGCCTTCAGGTGATACGTCATCATTAGTAATGTCATGCTTCTTTAAAGAGAGCCCAATGCTAATCTTATTTAATTGTTGTTTAGTCCCTTATTATAAATTATGTATAACCACAATGAAAACTGCCAAAAACTTTTACGTAATAATTTTATTCACTAGAATACTATTCTTACGACGTTTCGGAGACTGTTCTCTCTCCTATCAGGTACAGCTGAAAATTTAATTATAAAAATATTTTCATGAAGCCAAAATGATTTTTACAAAATTACAAATAAATATATTCTGTACCCAATTCAATGAAAGTGTAATTAGAAAATGACGCCACCTCCTCTTTTTTAACATTCGGATCAAACCTATTGAGATTGCAATTTTAACTATCTCCTAAATTCCGTTTCTTCTACAAGTATGCAAAGACTCAATTGAAACGTTCAACTGTTTTGTGCCTGGACTGCACTCCACCACTTATTTTAAAATTTAGATAAGTTTGTGTAATTTGTAGACATTGTATAAATTTTAGTATATATTGTAGTTTTCTAGTTCTTGGAAAATATTTATAATTTCTGAATAATATTTATAATTTAAATTTAAGAATTGGATGCTTCCCCTAAACTTGGGAACATTCAATAGTCCGCCCCATTACGAAACCATATACAAATCACTCCAAAGTAGACCCTTACAGGCCCATCAGTTTATTACCCCTTATTTCCAAAATATTCGGAAAAAAAATCCTTGCCAGATATAACCAGCATATCAAAAGTTTTAACATAATTCCTAAATATCAATTCGGATTCATTGCTCATTTCTTAACTGCCCACCAATTACTTAGAATAACGTACCATATCCACTGTACATTTCATAAAA